TGTGTGTGTGTGTGTGTGTGTGTGTGTGTGTTTGATCGTTCTTGCAGGTATTTATAGTAATTCTAGAGACCTACCAAAGCACAGGTGTCTGGACTAGATGTACGGGTGGGCATTACAGGTAGACAGTCTCTGCCGTCACATCAGCTAGAGACGCGTGGGGAAAGGAAGGCCATTTCTGCTACTCTGTCTCTCCTGTGCTCCTGATCTCTGCCAGGATCTGAGCTGCATGGTTTTCTCTACTTTGGCTCATCAGAGCTAACACCTCAAGTTATCTTGCTCCCACCAGATATCAGATGACTGTCTTTTCCTTTTCTATGAAGGTGAAACTCTGAGTTTTCCCAGTTATAACAGACTGAAACTCTAGCTGGAAGGCGCCTACTGCGAACTGGCCTTCCAGTGTCAATCCTGCCATTTAGCATCAAGATAGCACTGTTTCTGTTTATTTCCTTGTGTAAGTAGAAACCTCGTTTAAGTGTTTCTATTAAGATTGGGATAACTGCATGGCTCAAGGATGATGAGAGAACACATTTCTTACGAAACTGAAGAATATCTTCACAGGATGTAAAATGCATCCGTGCCAAGAGAACACAAGTTTAAGGGACATTAGGAAATAAATAAGCCACAGTAAGAACTAGACCCGATTTGTTTACGAAAAAGACTTAAAATGAAAATACTGCACAGATTATGTGTCACATTTCGGATTAATGACTGAAGCTGCCTCCCTTTTCTCCTCTAATATCCAAGAGAGATTGGAAGGTTAAAACAGTAATAAAGTAGGCAAAACATAACTAAGGATGGACTGAGAGAAGGGAACTGACATATCTTGAGTGCCAATTTTATGCCAGTCAATGCAAGCATTAGCTCAATCTTCACAACAGTCCTCTGGGTTTAGATTCGTTTTTTCCACATAATAAATAAAATCCACTGTGGATTAGTAACTTGTCCAGCCTCATAGCACCAGATAATGATGGAACTATAACTCAGAGTAGGCTCTTTGAGCCCAGGAATCATGTTTGGGGTGTTTTGCCTCATAATAATTAGTATAAATATGTATTCCCTGTCTCCTCTTCTTCCTTATTTTTATTCTATTTTATTTTTCCTTCCTGAACAGCATTTTAAAAAATTTTAATTCCAGTACAGTTAACATACAGTGTTATAATAGTTTCAGGTGTGCATCATAGTGATTCCACAATTCAGGGAACGGCCTGACTCAGTGCTCATCATGATAAGCGTGTTCTTTGATTTCCATCGCCTGCTTCCACCATCCCCTCACTCACCTCCCTTCTGGTAACATTAGTTTGTTCTTATAGTTAAGAGTCTGTATTTTGGTTCTGTCTCTCTCTCTCTTTTCTTTTCCTTTGTTCATTTGTTTTGTTTCTTAAATTCCACATATGAGTGAGATCATATGGTATTTGTCTTTCTCTGACTGACTTACTTCCTTAGCATAATGCCCTCTAGTTCTACCCATGTTTTTGCAAATGGCAACATTTCATTCTTTTTTCATGGCTGAATAATATTCCATTACATACATATATTTTCCCCATAATTTGCCTATTGTAGATAATGCTGGAATAAACAGAGGGGTGCATGTATCTTTTCGGATTAGTGGTTTCATATTCTTTGGGTAAATACCCAGAAGTGGAATTACTTCCTCCTTCTTTTTTAATTGGTTCTGTATTAAGACCCTGTAAAGCTTTTATAGGAAACATGTAAGAGAAATAGTCCTTTTCTGACAGATGAGAATTTTTAAGGATTTTGAATTTCACTTAACCAATGCAATTAAAACAGAAGAAAAGATGATAGGTAAATTTGACTTACAGCTTGATGATATCATAGTCAATAAATTATGAACTGTCTCCATCAGATCATGTTGCTGCTTTTGGAGAACTGAGCTATTCACCGTGGCGGTCACTAATTGTTTTTCTAGTTCTTCAATGATGGAATTTTGCTTGGATACTAATACTTGGAGCTGATCTTTCTCTTCTTTTATCGACTGTAGTTGAACAATATGCTTGTCTTCCATGTCTAGTACTTTCTTTTCCAGGAAACTTGTAGAGGGAAATAATTGTTAGTTTAGTGAAGGGTTTTCTGATTGCTTTGTATACATCAACTCAGTTTTGTACTTTTTTTTTTTTTTTTTTTTTTTTTTTTTTTTGTAATGCTTATTTACTTTCAAGAGACAGAAACAGCGGAAGTGAGGGAGGGGCAGAGAGAGAGAGGGAGACAGAGAATCCAAAGCAGGCTCCAGGCTCTGGGCTGTCATCACAGAGCCCAACGTGAGGCTCAAACTCACGAACCATGAGATCATGACCTAAGCCAAAGTCGGACGCTTAACTGACTGAACAACTGAGGTGCCTCTCGGTTTTGTAATTCTTAAACAATCTTTAATATTTATTGAATTCCTGCTTCTCCAAGGCCCTCTGTTAAGATGTTAAAGGAGTTGCCGCAGCCCTGAAGAAACTCTCAAACTTGCCGAGAACTCTAGATAAGCAGATGGGACATAGATATGAGGATAAAATACCCTAACCAAAATGTAAGGTCCGTAATTAGAAGTTATCACATGGAGTGCATTTGAAGACCATGGTTTTGCTGAAGGGAATTGTGGACAATGAGAAGGCAACCTTGGTGTTGGGAGCACATGGGGGCGAGTGGAAAGCCCAGGCTGAGAACCTCACTTCTGTATGTGACCACCTGTGTCACCTGCATCAGGCTGTTCCCTGTCTGCATCTCAGGTGAGTGTCTTTCTAAATGAACATCCACCTGTAGATACAAATTTCTATGTAAAATGAAAGCAGTAGATTAGATAAAGATCTCTGAGGTCCTTCCTAGTTCAAATAATCTGTACGTCTACGATGCCTTTTTGAGGGCAGTAACATTTTCTGAATCTTTAACTCTGTGAGCAATATTACTCAGCCAAGAAACTGACTACCTACTAAAGGTCTTACCTATAAGCAGTAACAATCAGTATAAATAATTATTATTAGAAATTCAGTTGTAAGTCTTAAATTTATCCCAGCCAAGTCCTTGTAAGTTGGTATATGACAGTAAGTGTTGTTCACTATTCCAAGTCAGAAAGTAAGCAGCTATTACTTACTGCTTAAGTAAGTAAGCAGTAAGTAATACCCTGATTTGCACTTTATTTATATTTCATCAGTTTTCTCCCATCTCTTTTAAAACTATTACATCTCATTATTTTTCCTGCTATCAGCTTATTCTTTTAATTGTGTATCATTTTGTTAATTTAAAAACTAAGATGACTTACTCTAAGCAGAAGTTAACCTAAAAATAAACGCACAAGGTGTACCCAGGTGGTTCAGTCGGTGAAGCATCTAACCCTTGATTTCAGCTCAGGTCATGATCTCATGGCTCGTGGGATGGAGCCCGTGTCAGGCTTTGTGCTGACAGCTCAGAGCCTGCTTGGGATCCTCTCTCTCTCTCTTGCTCTGCCCTTCCCCCACTCGTGCTGTCTCTAAAATTAAATAAATATAAAAAAATAATAAATACATAAAGTTTTTCTGTTTTCTGCCTGAAATCATTTCTAGTACTATCATTATAGGCAGTATGCTTTCAAAGCACTCCTGTGATGCTTGACCTAGACAATTAACATAAAATAAGTGAGGCATTTTTAAATTACTAATCTACACTGCCTTCAAAATGACATTGCTTGAAATTTCTTATCCAGCTGTATTCTGTTGTCTTTAATACTTTGTGACGAGGCATAAGAGAAAGATGGGACAGTCCTATACTCCAGAGTGTGAATGAGAGTGTGAACACTCCTAGATGGATATTTTTTTTTTAATTAGCCTGTATTGAAAAAAATTTTTTTTTAATTTTTTAAAAAATTAGCCTGTATTGAAGAGCTTAGCAGGTCACCCCAGACCACACTGGCTTTGAGAGCAGGACCATGTAGGCACGGAAGCACAGATCATGGCATTTAAAGCTATAAGGAGTGTCAGATCATATCCTCCAGCAACACTTTGCAAAATGCAGATTGGGACCTGTTACTGTCCTGTGAGATCCATTTAATGAGTCACAATCAGCACTTTTTAAATGAGAGCGAATTAATTACATAGGATAAAATAGATGAGAATCGAGTGCAAGTTCATAGCAACAACTCTCCATTCTGCAACAGATACCCAGGCCCAGAGTGCTAAGTGGCGGAAGGAAGGAGATGGGGCGGTATGGGGAATCCATACGGTGGGTAACACTCTGTAGCGTGGTGTTTGGTTTTCTGATACAGGGAAATCAATGTGATCATCACCATAAAAATTGGACTTAAGTACAGCTTATCTTCCTATTAACATAACTCACAGGCAGGTGAGGAGTGTGAGGAAATACCCTGTGTAGGCAGAAATACCAAGGCTGAATCCTGATTCTTTTATGAGTTTTTATTGGCTCTCTTTAGAAGGGGGCAGCATCCATGGCAGCACTTTTCAATAACAATAATTACCGTAACGATAATCACAATTTAATCGAGCTGGTACAACTAAGGCCTAAATGAATCCTTTATTTTTAAAAGAAAAAAAAAGAACGATTAGGTGAAAAACACATAGTAATTTTCACCTTCAGCTGGTGAACCTAAAAATGGTATAGTGGCAATTTTCAGAATATCATCGACCCTGATCAGTACTCTGACTTCATCTGAAACTATTCCATGAAGAAAACAGTTGCACTTTTGGAGACACATTGAAAGTAATTTAAAGAAATGGTTTGGCACATGTGCAAAACATTCACATATATTTGTAACGACGTTCTTGCGAGCGAAATCCTAGGCTAGTCAAAACGTAAGGCACCAGAAAACACAGCATGCCAAACTCACTGAAAGATGAAAAATCATCTGCACAGTTTCCTTATTTTTATTTATTTACCATCATCAACTGAAGCCTTGTTATCGTCATTTCATATTTGTGTCAAAAGAGGCTGTGATTTCTGCAGCCCCTGCAAAGATTATTCTTCCTGCAGGTACAGAGTTGTTACGTATGGTGTTTATGACAAGTCTGCTGATAAAAAGCTATCCCTTTCACGATCTATACTCTGAGAGGCCATTCGGAAACAATCTGTGTGCAACTCCCGCGTGAGTGAGAGATTTGCAGCCCAGGCTGTGGTGCACTGCTCTTGTAAGTGATACGCAGTCTTAAGCGTGTCGGGTATGTTTGACACGGCGGTTTTACGGAGGAAATGTGATGTTTAAACTTAATGTCATATAAAACTAAACTCCGAGTATTGGAAAAGTGTACTGCTGGTCCATGTAGATTCAACTGGAGGACAACGTGAAAGATTTAAGTAAAAAAATAAAAAAGTTGGAGGATCACATAGGCAAGAATAATCAGAAGGTACAGCGAGCCTCAGGATGGTTGGGATCACTATTTTATATGTTGTGAAGCTTTGACATACAGAGACATTTCCCCAAATCATGATGAGCAAAGGATGTAGGGAAAGTTGTTGATTGTATTTCAAAGCAATTCCAGCTGACTGTGCGTAACGAAGTTTACTTGTAGTAAGTGAAAACATGAAGCAGTGTGTCTGAACTCAGGAAGAAGATTTATACTCCTCAAGGCAAAAGGCAGTATGATTTGGCAAATATTTACAAAGATGATACTCGGGAAACATAACTGACATGCTTAACTGATAATTTTCGTGTTTTAGCATACTAAATTAGAAACATAAGGAGGGGATGGTGTGCAATACCAGGGTGCATTCAACAAACTAATCAAAACCTAGGTATCTCCCAGCCCATATTGTTTTGGCAAGCAACAAAAGTAATCACTCAGCTCCTGTATCTTCCTGTCACTGCAACTTCATTAAATAAAAGAGAACATTATTAAATAAGACCATTTTAAGAGATTGTTGTATCTCAACGTTTGGTCTCAAACTTTTATTTTTTTACTTTGCAGAAGAAAAAACATTGAAACACTAAAGAAAAATATTTGAATTAAAAAACTATATTTGCAAAAGAATAAAAAAATAAATCTATTTGCTTTTGAAAATTCTAAATCAATAGTGGGCTAAACTTGTTACCCAAAGAAGAGAAAAGAATTATTTCAGCTGAGTTCTTGATTAACAGGAAAGAATGATCATAAGACAATAAGTTTATCATCATTTTTGGGTAAGAAAAAATTATTTACTTGAAATTACTTAGTTCTGAAATACAGTATATTGTCTGACCATTCTCCATGTCATATGCACATCTTGGTTAGAAACAAGTTGGTAGACAAAATTGTCTTCGTGTACTCCCGTCTGCAATAAGCCTTTGAAAACAGTCCCCACTGATCACCCAAAGTTTGTTTTTGTATTGGCTTTCTTGGGATTTTTCTAGATCTTATTTAAATATTAACATAATATTTATTAATGACTTCCATTTTTACTTTATCATATGTTTTAAGAGTAACTTTTGCACCATGAAATGTGCCTTGTTTACACTGTAAGTGTAGTTTTCCACCTGTGGGTCATTTTGCATTGGAAGTGATGACGTTCCCAGAGGCAAAGGTAAAAAGCCTGGGCCAGTGTTACTTTTATTCCAAGACACTGGCAGCATTTTGTCACAGATTAACTTGGGCGGTATTGAGGCAGAGCTTGGAGAATCACTGGAGGAGAATCTTTAAGGGGCCAGAGAATGAAAAACATTGAAGACTGGATTAGAAGGCACACTTCCACTTTTTCCCAAACCCTCTCCCTGCCTTTCCCTCACGAGGTGTCCAGTCCTGACCCTATGCATTAAGAAATCTGGCATTTTGGAAGCCATTCTTAGAAATGATAGTCACGTGAAATAGGCTTTCAGATCTACAAGGTACGCAGTTCTGGCTTATAAATTTTTTTGTGTGTTTTTATTACCTGTTCTTATCTTGCAATTTGTTTATTTCACTGGTCTGGTCCAAAATCTGTTTTTCCAGTTTGCTGGTGGAAAGGGAGTGTTCCAGAAGCTGAAGTTCAAGTCTTGTCGTCTGATTTAATACCTAAATGTAACAAAATAAAATTCCTATTTGTCATTTTTAAAGTTACATATAACTTCCTTTTAATTAAGTCAGCGAAATTATAGGAAAACATAACTAAAGCGTTTTTTATTTACCCAAGTATCTTATTTTGGCATATTCTTCATGTTCAGAAAAACCTTGAAGTCCTGGATTGCCTCAGACTGTGGTTGTTGTGTTGTTTTTTTTTTTTTTT